GGAATAAATCTTGTGACATTGCAGAAGCTTATCGAAACAATGCCACAGCGAATGTGTGCTGTAATCAAAGCTAAAGGCGGTCCAACGAAATATTAGAGTGGTTGACCCTTTTTTTTGGTGGTGACTTTTTTTTTGGCCAGGCAGTGTATATATATATACAGTATATATGTGTGTGTGTGTGATGTACATGACGGTCTGACTTAAGTGGCCGAGGGGCAGCTGACAGTGGTTCAGTGGATTGTTTGCGCTTGGCTTTTCCACGGGGGGAAATCTGCACTTTATTAGCTGTATCCTAATGAACACCGCCATTGGCTAAAGCAAAATAGGAACGAGGGGTTAGCTGAGAAACGTGTGCGTGTGTGTGGTGCTTGGTTATGTGGTGGTAATGTTGGGTGCTGATTATATATGTATATGTGGGTATATGTTCGTCAGATAGTAAATTATTTGACATCCTCTTGGCTGAAGTCGTATATGATTCGTGTAAAATTATAAGAGATTTATTATTATTTTTGTTTTCTTCTGTTATCTTTCACTGTATCTTATTAAAGCTTACAAAGAAGCTGGAAACAATCCCAGTTTGTTCCAAAGCCACAGATGGAGAATACACATGGTAAATTAAAAATGTTTAATTGACCAATCAACATTATACCTGAATGTGTGGACAAATTGATAAGCAGGTATGGTCTCACACGGAGAATCTGCAAACCCAACCCAACAAAACACTCTCTGCCTGAGCCGGGATTCAGACCGATGACCTCTTTGCTTCTGGAGTAGTTGTTTTCATTTGACCAAAAACAATTTAAAAAAATAACATAATTTTGTTTTTATCAGAATTTTTTTTTTCCACAGAGGGCTGTTTGGTAGATAAAAAGCCCACAGTAGTAAAACCTCATGCCAGTCACTGAAGAATGCAATATATTTTTTCTAAATGCATAAATGCAAAAAGGTGAACTGAAAGATATTCAACAACATCTAACTATATTGGCAGGTTTTGCAAAATCCAGGAGGACAAAAAGCTGTAGTTTACAAAAATATTTTAAACAAAATGAATTAAAATCCAAACATCCATTAAATCAGACTTGTGATTACTGTACATCATCAAGTCAGAGCATCCAATTTAACAAATCTGAAATGTGGCTGTTTTATGGCTGTGTAAGGGAACATGACCAACCTGGTACCATGTAAGTCCATCCAGACAGAAGGTCAGTTACAGCTTGGGCTTGAACAATGTGATCTTTTTGCTGTAAGGCAAGAGCACCAACCACTGATGCACCATGTGGCTCCCAAATAATAAAAATGGTGGGAAAAACTAATAGCTCTCTAGAGGTGAGTAAAATTTGTCCTAAAAATAAAAACAAAAATGCATATCTGGATATAGAACAATAATTAAAACATTGACATACTGTATACAGATTGTGTTCTGCTGTAGCAACTCCAAGAAACAGATTGTCCAACATCCCTAAACACAGAGCTCAAAGTGATCTGATTCTAAGTATAATCTGCCACCCAACCTCCAGCTTAATTAACGACTGCTACGTTTTAAAGTCTCAGGAATCATGTTATCATTTTACTGCTGCGCCTTCTTCACAGAGTCGTCATTAAGTTGAAAGCAGAAAGTCACTTACTGCTGTGTAAAACCTCTCTGGTCTACGAGCGGCCTTGGAGATCAGGTTGCCTTTCAGTATCCATGAATCTGTGAGTCAAGAAGCTAATCAAAGATGTGTTTGATCCTGGCAATCCACTGTGCAGGCCTCATGATGATCCGCATATCACATGACCTGTAGATGGTCCACCTCCGGCACCATGCCACCTCAGACTGCATAAAAATGGCATTAAATTTCTCGCTAATTAATTAAGTTAATTTAAAAGGTGGAAACTGCTGCTGAATATGTATAATCTTCCAGAGTGTTGCATTATTGACAACCATGCCACCATGACAGAAAGATACAGGGCAACCTTTCAAAAATTCATCAAAGATTCTGTCTGATACTTCTCCAGAGGTCAAGAGAATAAAACCTGTCTTTGGTACTGTAGGGGGTACGTAGAGTACAAACATGTTTGTGACCGGGGTATTTTTGTAAACTTAATGTGTAGAGGATAATAGTGCATGGGAAACTTAACTCTAAAGCCTCTTGAAAAACCTGAACCCAGAGTCAAATGTGGAGGTCCAGACCTGAAGATGTTCCCATCAGCTTTAGAAGGAGGCCCACAAAGGAACCTGACAACACTAACTCACTTAAGCCATGTTGCTTCCATAATAATGTAAGTTCAATTTGAGTCTAAGGAGGAAATAATATATGACGTTTTATTGAATAAATCCTGTGCTTATGGAGCTGATGTGGAACTTGAATTAAGGAATAAAAACAGCATATAAACCATGTTGCCTTGGTGTTTGTGTCTCATATAAACAATGTTATAATATTTTGCAATGTACAGTATATCTCTGGCAGTTATGTTTCCACGGCAACAGCAGCAGTATGCCAATCTCCGTAGCATCCAAGTACACCCTTGTGTTTTCGCATGACATAAAAATAATTACAGGGGACACAGAGGAAGAAAAGACACACACTGCCCCAATAAGTGTTCCAACTATCCACAGCTCTCTGTAGCAGGTGTCAATCAACAAGCAGCTGTCAGTTATGGCTGTGACAGATGGTGGATTTTAAGATAGTTTTAAAGGAGGCTGACAGGTTTGTTTTGCATTGAGTCTAGTCTAAGAGAACCTGTGAGGTCAGTGGTCATCTGCAGTGACACCGCCATCTACTTGTTTTCTCTCCATTTTTTGTTATAAGTTTCTCGGTAGAAATGGTACCAGAATACTACAGAATCTGTATGTCAGTGATCATTAACTGGCGGCCCGTGGCCCAAATGCATCACACCAGACCATCCAATTCAGCCTTTAGGGGCCATTTAAGTGGCCCCCAAGGTGTCGCTCCTGAAACATTTTGAGCCAAAAGCAGAGAGAGGGATTGTTAGGTTTATTCTAACATATGTGACGACAAAGTAACAACACAAAAGACATTTGGATCTTTTTCTTGCAAGGAGAGAGTGCAGCTTACTCTTCTGGCAGCTTTCTCATCAACTCCGAGTTGCTGCACCCTTCCTCTGCTCTTTTATTTAGTTTACAAAAGTATCCGATTACATAACATTTGATTTTGTGTGAGTATATGGAGTAAGAAGCTGGATGTGAAAATGGGTGTGAATGGGGGTGTGAGAAGGAAAAGATGAGAAGCAAGCGGTTTCTTGAAGCGACAGTAACACACTGGAGTAAATATGGGAAGCAAGCAGTTTGTTAAAGTGATAGTACAGCATGAAGCAATGATAATAAATGCAATTCTTCCAACAGGGATTAGAACAGTTTTCTCAGCCAGTTGAATGGCATTTCTTTGAGTTAAAAAATGCAACTCAAGGGTTATTTGATGAAACCTAGTCATTCAGTGCATTATCACTGTACTCAAAAGCTCATGAGTTACTTGGCTTTGACATATTATAAGATTACATTAACATAAAACACTAATGATCCAGCACAGACAGAAAATTAATTTCATCATGCTTTAAAACAGGGTTTAATCTATGAGTTTGGAAATGCAGATGACCAAAACTCCTGCATCCAAAGCTTCTCCCATCTAAAGAGATTTAGAAAGAAAAGGTCTGTACACTCTTCACTGCACTGAATGGCATAAACAACATTGTCTAGCTTTTTTCTTGGTGTCTTATCTTTGGGATGCAGTGCACCCAATGTACATACCTGTACATTGGGGAGACCAAACAACCGCTACACAGGCGCATGGGCCAACACAGGAGGGCCAACTCCTCAGGACAGGACTCAGCTGTTCACATACACCTCAAGGACAAAACACACTCCTTTGAGGACAACAATGTTCACATTTTGGCCAGGGAAGACAAATGGTTTGAGAGAGGGGTAAAAGAAGCC